CGGTAATTGGCAAAGGGTGGTGAAGAAAAGGGGCCAATCAAATATCCTTTTTTGACTTCTGATGCAATTTTTTCTGTAACAACTTCTGGTTGTTTGCGAGCAGATAGCAAATTACGGCAAATTAAGGTAGATAAAGGTGGGTTATTAATCCCAGTGTCAAAGCCTTCCTGTAAGCCTGAAATGAGGTAGTTCACAAATGCTGAGTCTGGATGGGTGGATAACTGCTGACTAAGAATATCAATGTTAATTGGAGTGGAGGCTTTCTTAGGAAGTCAGGCTCTGCTTTGCTGACCTTTAGGAGCACATTTCCCTTGACTAAAATTGTGTTCAGATGAATGGCAATTATGGCATAAATGAGAAAAGACACAATTGCTCTTTTTGCAGCCGAAAGGTGCATTAAAGTTGTTGCAAATTCCTTTCCTTGGTAGAAAACACGTTTTCGGCCAGATCTGTCATGGGATGCCGAGGCTGATGTATTACCAGGGGTATATAAATTAGGCTTCCTGGTGGTTGAGGCAAGCTGAGTGCACACCTCGGTTGCATGAGCGACACTACTGCACAGATTGCATGTATTTGCACGAAGCCCTGAGAATATAGAACAGTATAGCGTTGTATCTCGACTATTGTAGCATATGTGCAGCGGAAAGGTCACATAACTTGTTATATGGCTAGCTAAAATAAACTGCTCCATATTGGAAATCTGATTGTTGACTATCAAACATGCAATGTACATGTACAAACTACTGGGTAAATTAAAACTACAGGTACTTTATACTGGAGAGCACCAGCTGCACTTTTGCCCTTTTGTTTTTTAATTTTAGTATGTAATACTGAGACAGAATCACCTTTGAGGTGGCAAATAAAAAATACATACTGTAAAATACTTTATTTTTGCTTGGAATTAAATTTCATTGAAGGAATGATTCAGTGAAAATAAAATCCAGTAAATATACCTTTTTCCCCCCCATATTTTACATTCAACTCGTCAAAAATCAGGGAAAATAAATTCTATACAAGACACTAGAAAAAAATTTTCAGCAAAAATTGATTCCAGCTAAAATAATGTATTTTACAGTAGTATGTCTATTATTCACATTTAGACAGCTGTTTTTTTTTTTATTTGCTTAAGAGTACAATATGAATCAAAAAAGTTGAAAAAAAAATACAAAAATTAAATATAATTATTGCAGATCTATAAAAAAATTTTAAAGCAAAAAACAGCATTACAAATGTTAATTGCAATAATTATATCATTATAGACATGACTTATTTTTTTGAAATCATTACCATTTTTTAATTAGTTACTAAAAAAACTGAATATGAATATTAACAAGTGTTGGTGAAAAAATTCACTTCAGTATCAAATTACTCAATCAATTTCAGTTAATCAATTAAAAATTAATTAACATATATTTTATATCCACTAATTTTTGTTAATGTCTTTACATATTTTACGTTAAAACTAAGACGCATGGGGTAAATCTAGTAACAATTCTGAATTTTCCACAAAGGTGTTATTTCCCAATAGTACTGATTGAAAAAAAATTAGAATATGCATATGCAAATCAGTTCACTCACTGTGAATCAAGTTAGGTACTAAACCTGTATAAAAGGTCACTGAGTTCAAGCATGGGAAGATGCAGTATTTTCTCAACAAATTTTTGAGAGTGAAAAGAAACTACCGGTAACACAATTCCTAAAACAACTGGATGATGGGAAAGAATTAGTAAACATGTGAATAACGCATTTCAAATGGCTAACACCTATTAAAAAAAAACCATGCGTTGGCCATATTGAATCAAATGACAAAAACAAGTTGGGAAAAGATGTACCGCTTGATATTCTGTACTAAGATTAAACAGAAAAGATTGTATTCAAAAGAAACAGGCATTGAACCCATAAAAAAGAAAATGGCCACCAGTTGGCCATATATCATTTGATGACGAGAACCTGTAACCCAATATGTATAATATCACACTAGCTTTGATCAAAATCTTCCAAGTCATCTCCAAGAAACAGCTCTGGACAAGTTTCAAGTATGGCTGCCTGTTGAATATGATCAGTCCATGAGTGTCTGAGATATGACCCTGGACAAACTGACTTACTCGGATCCTAATCTCTTAAAGTCAGACCCCAACCTGAGTGACCCGATTTGTAACAAAATCTATATCATAAATAATAAATAATATGATTATAATAATAAACAAATAATACGCAAATTTTAATAGTCAAAAAGTGAAATGCAGCTCATATGCATTGTCCATGGTCTAAAGAATGGATCGTTATCAACTCTGGATAACAAAATTTCAAATTAAGCTGCAAAGGAGAAGAAAATTAGTTGAAACAATTAATCCACAAAAAGGATACTGAAACAGAAAAAAAAATATAATAACAATTCAATCCAGGACAGTTATATTCCTCTGTAGCAGCAGATTAATCACTCCTGAAAACTAATTTATTTCTAAATTTCCACTTTCAGCAAAAAACTTGATTTTTCTTACCACGCGGCGGCCATATTTGTCGCAAATTGATCCCCATATTGTTGAGCTCATGAACATGCCGATAAAAACTACTGTTGTGATGAGAGCTTCTTGCCAACTTTTCAATTTCCATATGCAATGTAGCTCAGGTGAGAGAATACTGAGTATCATCATCTCCATGGCATCAGCCATCTATGAGAAATAATTTAAAACAAATTATTACACAAAAAAATGAAATTAGCTAAACACCATTACCATTTGACTTGCTACAAAGTTTCACTGACTCATTATATTCATGATTCTTTGTTTCTCGCAAAATTTATATTATATATATGTACTATTTTTGAGACGTAATCAAAGATACAGCAGATATCATGTAAACGATGCATCAACCGATTTCAGAGTTGTGTAATATGCAAATGAGCAAGCGATTCACTTTTCGGTTCTATAGCAACCATTACAAAAATGATAAGTGTGGACGTTCTTTAGTTATATGGACTCTGTATGCATGCCAATAACCGCTATAGTCATCAGTGCTACATGTTGGGAGATGAGAATATTGCAGATGGCAAGCTAACGAGTTCTCACATTAACTGTTGTTGTTTTGACATTCCATGTGTTAATTATTATTACAAATTTGTTATGGGAAGCAGAAACGATCACTGTTGGGTTTATCAAATATGATTCAAAGCAAGCAAATATGGAAATAGTATATAAATGTATGCAAACAAAACAAAACAAATCTGGATTGATTATATATGAATTTTACCGGTGTCTACAATTATGCTTTAATAACAGATTATAATTATTATTAAAGTGACAATAGTTGTGATTTTCAAAATTTTCTGTTTAAAAATCAAAATATCATTTTAGACACAATTACATGGGTAAATCCTACACAAGGTAAACATCACATAAAATGCGACGTAAAAACTAAGGGTCAAGCAGTCACCACTTCATTGAAATTGATCCTATGGTGGGGACAAAAAAAAATTATGACACACTATCATGGCCAACTTATTTCTTTTGCAAAGGATTTAATGTACAATGTCACATTTTGGCGATGACCATTATAAATTGGCTAATGACACAGAAAATGTTTTATTTAAAATAAAAATCAGAGAAAAAAATCGATAGTTACAGCTAATGCTGCTTTAAAGAGGCACTTCAGTTAAGCCTAATCTCACAACAAATTTACTTTCTGGATTAAAATTACAATGGATAACAAAAGATTAACTTTGTAAACAACAGTGTCCCATGATTCTTTGGTGCAATCCCTGGGCTTGGAAAGTTCCCCTTTAATAAACAAGATAATTACCCAGCATAATCCTGCAAGCAGTGATAGTTTAATCTGAAACTTTCCAAATCCAATTGCTTCCACTGCATCCTCCACAGTAAATGTATCTGGGAGAAAACAAAATTTAACAATTAATATCGCAAATTCGTGAATAAGAATGAGTTCATTCTCTATGTTAAAACACGTTTGTGTTGACATGTACATTTTTTTCATATTATGAAAAAAAAATTAAATTAAATTAGGGACATTCAAATTGGTTTCAGAATAATGCAAACACATGAGATTCTAGTAATTATTTACAGATGTTCAGAATGAAACAAACATCACTATACAGGGAGCAGAAATAGAAATGCACAAATACACAATCATTTGTACATCTAAAATGCATAATATTTAGAGTTTGTTTGCCGTTCATATACCTTTACATCTAATGGTACATGAAATGCCTTCAAATATTAAGTTTTTACTAGCTTGGTCACTGTTCACACCTCTGACGGGTTAAAGGTGAAAGGTTACATATAATTTTTAAGAAATAAATCACATGACCATGTTTATTGGTTTATTATGTACAATCATTAGCTTGTGTGTCCTGACACAATAAAATTGCAATTTTTGTGTGAGTTACAGTGACGTTTTTTTTGAGAAACTTGTCCTATTTTTTCAAAAATCGCTATTTTTAGAACCATTCCATAGAACACAATAATAATAAAAAATTGCATTTTTCAACACTTTTCAAAACCCAGATTTTTGAAATAAATCAGGACAACAATAAGTAACCCATCATTTCCAATATATGTTACCAGCCTACCATTTGAGATATGGCATAATATCCCTGCCATAGGAAACTATGTGGTTCTTGTCTTATTTATTCCAGAGCATCTTTACCAAACGCTCAATTTAAAAACTGGCTAATAAAAATTAGATAATCAATAAGTTTTTTAAAATTAAACTAATCACATCTGTGAATTACCCCAGAACATCTACATGCATGTATATTGTACCAAATTTTAATGCAATGTGATGTGATGTAACAAGTAATCAATATGCTCAAATTTCAAACCAAAACTAATCAGGTTTGACTTTAGACATGTGATTATTATGCAAATTAGGTAATTAATATGCATGGATTTCAATTCAAAACTACCGGTAATCATGGCTGTGCATTATTTCGGGGCATGTATGAACCAAGTTTTATGATTGTCATTGTTTACAATGTCATGATTAATTAAAATGGTGGAAAAGCTGAAAACTATTATGCAAATTAGGTAATAATTATTATTATTTGGTATTAATTATAATTATTTAAACCTAACTAGTTGTCACATTATCTTATATTTTCAACATACAAAATAAAAAATAAATAATTACTTATCATTAATTAATTATTCACTTCCTAAAACATTATTTTTAACATTATCGCAGGAAATATCAAATGATGTCAATCAATATGAAGGTGAAATGAAAATATGGTTACTATGGATACGGCAACAGATGCACCAATACAATACATTTAAATCAGAACAATTAAACAAAAACAGCTATTATTAATATTAAAATGTGTATCATTGAACTTTGACCTAAGGGATAACAAATTGGTTGATGAATTATTATGAGGGATCAAGGACCTGGCAGTTCTGAATACAGTTGTAATATTAAATATAATTTGATTCCACTAAGTTTTTTTGAAGAAAATTATAGAGATCAGCCCAGATCAAGATTGTTAGTGAAATAAAAATAGTCAACTGCAAATAGTCAAATTTTAATAAATTCAAAATAGGTCAGACAGTATTATAATGGCAACCATATTCTAGATGCAATACGGTAAACGGCAATGTTATACATTTAATTCTTTTGAAATTTTTGATTTCATCTCGTCAAAACATCAATCCTAGACTTTTAATCCATAGAATCCTAATTTGTCAAATAAGCTTCATAACCAGTGTAAGCTGATGGTAGATCTCGCCGCACTTCTATGCGTGAGTTTTATACAGGGTGCGGGTATATATAATTCTATACAGCTGTCACAACATAACAGCATTTCCACTCACTACCAGCAGAACTGAATGTCAGATAAAAAAAAAAAATGATATACAATGTATCTGATAAAATATTGCAAAATTGCCATTGTTATGGATATATTGTCATCATAATATTTAGTTTTTAGTCATCCTTTATGTAAATTATATACATGATACATAAATACAGAATCTCTTATTTATAAATCTATTGTTGTAATTATTAAAAAAAAAAAAATTTTTTTTGCTCAATAATCAAATAAAAAATGCTGCATGAAAATTACTCTCAAACCATATGGATTACTGAAATAACCCAGACCTTAACCCTTATCCTGCTAGACCTATGTATTTTTGCATTGATTTGAACAGAAATGCAAATGCTTTAAATGCGGATAATAAAAGTACAGTTAACGCCATGCAGTGAGTATTGATTTTTTTTTTATACACACGAACGGTCTACTAACACGACGCAGGGCAATGACCACTCTCCTATAATTATTATTTACCAGAATATTAATATTGTGATACTACTTTTGGCTCGTCTCTACTGTTCTAACTATCCAGTAACCTTTGATGACCAACAGTTTTTGTTCAGTATTATTACTATGATAGTAATCTTTTTGCATTCCAAACAGTACCAGTTTACTAGGTTCTTTGCTCATAGCAATAAACGATTACTAGGAAAAAACTGTGGAGAGTGCAACTTTCACTATTTAAAAATGAGACATTTTTTTTTGAGAAGCAACACCCTGAAATCAAAACAGTGATAAAAATGAGTTAAAAAGGTGGTTTGTATTTGAAAGCAGCGTGTACTAGTAAGTCACTTTGATATGTACAGGAATAGGATGCAATTTCTATAGGTCCTTCGCACAGTGCCTTTCTATAGGAAAGGAGTAACGTTACACGCGTACGATGTTGACAACACACAACTGGCAATGCAGCTGCAGAAAAACCTAAAACTTCCTAAATTTACAGTATTAAAGTACAGAAACTTGGATACTAATGTAGTTAACTGTGTCTTGACTCTAGTAATTAATCCTTGCAGACTCGAAAATCAAGGGCCGTTAAGTACTGTTAGCATTTTCGTAGTCGTTTATAAGATTTAACTATCAGTAAATATGGACATTTTTTTTACATTTTATTTATATAGTAATATGCAAATTCAAACTATATAATTGGTCTGTCAAGGATTTTTATAAACAAGGAAAAAGGTGTGCAGCGCCCTCATGCCATGGTCATGCGCCACCTTACCCTGGGGAGCAGATTCTCTGGCAACCATAAAATTCCAGGAATCACATGTGGCCACAGTCTTCAACTGTGACCTGTCTGATAGTAAATTTGGCCCTAAGGAAGCCATAGAAAGCTCCATTTTAACTTAGAATTATCCAAAAATCCACACCCTGGTAGGGAGAACCCTATCTCACCCACTTGGTAGCTCCGCTGAATTGCAGTGCTCCCTCTTGCAGTTTTTTTCTAGAAAAATCCCTGGGTCTATGATGCATGTCTGGTGCACAACAGTAATTTTATTGTGGTATAACTATTCACAATTTAAAATACTTTTTAGATAGCATGATATTTTGGCTAATTAGCAAATCTGTCTGTCATTCTACAATTCTAGGTGATTTCAAATAAAATAAATTCTCACAATTAGACTTTAGCTAAATTAAGATTCTGCCAAATTCACTAAAATTGCATGTGGCTTTACAACATACACTGTATATTACACTTACTTAGGTACCCACATGAATATACTGCGAGCATGTCTTTTTTGCGAGCATGTTTATTAGCGAATTTAGCAAGAGACTAATTCGCTAATTTAAGATGTCGCTAATGACTCATTATAAATTCAAAATGGCGGCCAAACAACGTCTTTTTCTCCACACACACACTTTGAAAACAACACAGAAAACGTAATAATCTGGAGCGCTTCCTTATTACACTTAACAGTTTTTCTTCGTTTTTATGGAGGTGATAACTGCGCATTTGTTTTAGCAGGCGACAAACAAGTATTGTGAAAACAGGAAATCAACAAAACAGGGGAGATTCGCTAAATCAACATTTCGTTATTACGTCATTTTACCAAAATTCACTAAAATAGTATGTCGCTTTTTCAACATGTTTTACAATATATAACCACAGTCTCTATCACCAGTATAGCGGCACTGAAGTCAAAATTTACACTACTGAGCATGTTACTGCACATATGTATGCAATGCATTGTGGGAAAGAACTTCCCATTGAATAGACAACTATGATCACCCTGGAAACTGTTGAGATGTGAAAAATTAATTTCATCATTTAAACAAGCACAAAACATTTCATTTTATTTTTCAAGAAATTATCAGGTAGAGGTTATGATATTTTATTTTTTTGTTTTTTAACCCATACAATATAAGCATGAAGAATATGACATATATTCTTCAATTTGACTTGAACCTCTGTAGTCAAAAAAATATAACAAAAAAAAAATATGAAAAAAATTTGGAATCAACAATTTTGCTATACATTTATGTTTTTTAGAAAACTTGTATCATATTAAAATAATTGTATAATTCTTTCAGTTTATATATACAATGTATTTGTAACCTATTTATATTAGACTATACAGTACCCTCAGATGTTACATGCATAGTCATAAAGTTATTATTATTAAGTAAACACATATTTCCATTGGCTTTTGAATTATTTAAATAAATTGTGATATCATATATATATATATATATATATATATATATATATATATATGATACAAAACTTCAAATGCTCTCAATTTTGTTTTAAATAGTATTTTAATAATGCAGACTGTTCATTGTTTTTGATGACGAATACCAATCAGTCAATTAACATTAAAAAAACACAGCTCATAATGGCAGACCATGGAACGCGTGACACGTAACACAGTTGAATATTTTAATAAACTCCAGAGACACGAATTGTTTAAACAAATTGCGCATATACCAATGTTTTACATAATCCAATAACGGCAAATTCTGTGCCATAAACTGGACGTGCTCGTCAGCGGATTGTGTGTAGGAATGAGGTCGATGTTTGCAATCTAGTAAAAATCTCCGAACGTTGTGCGATGCACACCTCTTTTTGACAGATAGTGCCCGGGTCCCATCAAAAGGTCGCGGCGTGTCCGCTCTCTGGTCACTGCCACCTAGCTCCATACGCCCATAATCCTAACGCATAGACCTGCAGGTAAACACGATGAATTCAACGGCAAAGTCAGTTTAATCTGGGAACTGTGCAAGCTGTTAGAGTAATAAACAACACATGATTACCTTCGTCCAACGTTTCAACGACTCGCTTCCGGATTTCCTCGTCTCTGCTACTGTCGCCGATTTCGACATGGTCATCACCTCCCAAGTGTTCGTAAGGGCTAACTTCCTCGTCGCGAAACCGTCTGAATTTCACAAACCTGTTGAGAAATACGTCCATGGTGTGTCAATATGGCACAGCGGCAAAAACAAATCACAATTTGGGACTGCAAGATCATTGATCGGCGAATTGATATACCATCAGCAGCCAGATCAGTCTATACAATACATTGAACGAAATAATATTTGCATATTTAAATTTCGTGCCACCATTTTGCACGCTGGGTGGCGCTTTTCACAAGTTACGCATTATGCTGCATGATGTCCGTCCGCATTCCGGATTTTAGCAAAATCTTCAAAATGCTTGCAATTCCGGTGTTGCATATAACGCATTGATGATACGGAAATAAATGTGGCTAAACCACTGGGCTGTTTTTTTTTTTAAATTCTATTTCAGTTGAAAGGTTATTAAAGGGCGGGGGGTCATCGCGCAAAGCATGTTCGAACTTCATGTAAACACAACACAGCACAACTAATAACACAACTAATTCATATAACAAGATAACACAACTAATTCATATGGTAAAAAGCTTATTGATCTTTGTTTGTCAACTGATATGAAAATAGTGAATGGAAGAAAAATAGGAGATTTATATGGGAATTTCACTTGCCATGCATACAATGGCTCCAGTCTGGTTGATTATGTAATCGCACAAACAAACCTGTTTCCTAAAATCCAGTACCTGAGAGTGCATTCAATGACCCATTTGTCTGATCATTGTCCATTGTCATTTTCACTGACAGTGAAGGATAAAATCAATAATGTTGATTTAAACACAGGGTTAAAACCATTTCAGACAAATATATGTGGGACTCATCCTCAACTGAAAAATATAAAACAG